TCTCTGGGCGGCAGGTCTCTCACATCTCTGTGATGCAAAGCTAGTTCTCTGGGACTGTTGCTGCTCCACTGACGTCGGCTCACCTCCCTGTGCCTCTTGGCCCACTATGAAAGAACCAGCTCTCCCATACACCCTCACCGTACAGGCTGTGTATGTGTGTGTGTGTGTGTGTGTGTGTGTGTGTGTGTGCATGTATGTGTACCATGAGTGGCTGAGAAGGCAGGCAGATAGAGAGATTTAGTGGGAATGTGTGTGTCGGGAATCCTAGAAAGCCCTTTATCCTGAACCGCTGAGGCTCAGGGCTGATGGGCAGCAACACACTCATGGGCGATTAGGACATCAGAGGTTGTCGGTGGGCTGGGCTGCTAATGAAGTATGACGGGACTGGCTGGTGTAAACAAACAGCAGCCATTGAAGAGGGCCGCCACTGCTCTTGCTCATTCACTCACTGGTGCGCCTGCCGGCCCGGAACAAAGGGCCCTCTCATGAAGGTCCTCACAGAGGCATAGGGGGCAAGGGGTGAGGGGATGGTCTCCACCAGCAGAGCCAACCAAACCACACCACACCATACCATGCCATACCATACCAGAGCTTTTCTCCCATCCCTCACCCCCGGACAATCTGCTCCTTAGCTAGCTTGAATTGTTCGTCTCTGGACACAGACACAGGGTTTTCTCAATCCTTCATCCCCTAAACCCGCTCACTATCCTGACTAACCGTAAAGTCAGGCTGAACCTAAAGAGGTCCTCAAAGTTCCTGACTCCATCCTCAACCCCATCACCCCCCACCTCCCTTTTTGTCCCCCTAGACTCGGTCCAGAGCCCTGCTTGGACCTGAACACAACCACCGTTTGAAGGACCGCAAGAACAGATGACAAGCGGACGGATGGAGGGGATGAAACGAGGGGATGCGGCACATCAGAGGAAGCCGGTTCATGTGAAGAAGCCGCCAGCCCTTTTTGTGTTGAGGCTGCTGTATGTGTGGTGCTGTGGCTGCCTGCTCATACCCATGTCTGTGTGTGCAGAAGTCAAAGGGTTTCTGATTATTCACTGGAGCCACAGTTAACAGACTTTTAAAAAGCTTACTGATTAGAGTGGTACTGGTTTGGGAATCAGCTGTATGAGATGTGTTGAATAAAATGTTAAAACATTACTTGGTGCTATTGTGTGTCATATTTTTTTTATGTGATTTTGGCTTTACACATGTGTGACTTTCTATCATGCAAAGAGAAAGCTGAGACACCCTGAACTCTCCACGCTCATCACCACGGCCAGCAGCACATGGCGTGCGCGTACACTTCGCGTCCACAGTGCGCGCCACCGTTCCTGCGGAATTCAGGAGGCTGTGGTCGGACCCCGAGAGACTCTCACCTAGAAAATAATGAACAACAAATTTGACGCGTGAGTAATGAAAAGTTTCTGTGGAGTATCTACCAGAGAGTGGGCTCCCTGTCGCGACTGCACACCCACCGGGGAGCTTTAACGTTAATGAGAAGCTGTCGCGTTGCGTGTAAAAAGAGAGGTGTGTCAGATTCATTGCATGGTCCTGCATGCTCTGTAGTGCTTATAAACCCACACGAGAGCGAGGTCCGCATAGACGTGTGCATTTAAAACAAATGGGAGCAACAACAGGGAGTACATTGTGTTCTGTAATAGGAAATGTGCCGTGTTGCTAGGTGTAGCTTAGCTTGCCGGAAGGCGCGCAGGCCCTGAATCCTCGGTGTGGTGGTTGTTTAGAGGCGGGGGAAGGTGCGTGAGAGCTCGGCTCAAGCTAGACTCCCGTGGCCCTGAAGCACGGGCAAGACACGTACAGCGTGTTGAGGCGATTCATGGTCAGTGTAGTTTAGGGGAGGTGTGTACATGTGCAATATAAACTGTCTATATCTTTGCAGTTCACAAGGAGAAAGTACACTCACCAATTTGTTGCATGTAGCTGAAACTGTTGCAGTAAAATGCAGCAGCCCTGCAATAAATCATGTCTTTAAGAAGGCAGTGACGCTCAGTTTTAGCTGTAAGTGTTTCTATTATTTGGTGTACCCCATTTCACGTCACTGTACACCAAATATTAGAAATACACGTCACTATGACACAGTACAGTTCAACAGCACAAACTGCAGTCTCTAAGATTATCATAAAATTGTCTAATCACATGTAATCCATTGCAGGACTTTTATATTAGACTGCAATACTTTAAGCAAGGTGGTCCTAATAAATTGGCAACACAGTGCAAGTCTCCCTTCATGTAAACTAGTCAATGCATGTCACAGACGTTTTTATTTTGCTGCTTTTGTTTCCATCAAATCCAGTCTGAAAGATGATGACAGTGGAGACCACGACCAGGACCAAGGCTCACCGAAAGACAGTGAGAAGGAGAAAACTGAAGACGAGGACAAGGAACAGAACACTTCCAAGAAAAAGGTGAGTCTGTTAAAGAATGACTCATATGCGTTTGACGCCTCTAAAGTTAATTGTTTGGCTTAGTCATGTTTTCCTTGTCTGCAGATGGTTGTGCCAGGGGCAGGAGAGCACCCTCTTCAATACAACTACACCTTCTGGTACTCCAGACGCACCCCGGGGAGACCAGCCAGCACACAGAGCTACGAACAGAACATCAAACAGATTGGCAGCTTCGCCTCGGTATGTGCCTCCTCATGACAACTTTAGAGAGAGCGTACAGACAGTAGATAGTGAGGGGACCCTCTTTTGCTTTTGTTTATCACCATAGCCAGACGCAGCCCTAACCATTAAATGCAAGCTTATGCTGACTCATTCTGCCACCATTATTGACATAACCATTTCTTCTCCTTAGGTGGAGCAGTTCTGGCGTTTCTATAGTCACATGATCCGGCCAGGCGATCTGACAGGCCATAGTGACTTTCACCTCTTCAAAGAGGGTATTAAACCCATGTGGGAGGTGAGTACACATTTGCTGATATCTTGGACTTGTTTAGATCTTGTACACTAAAGAATGTTTTATAAAGGTTCATACTCAACCCTTGCATGTCTTGTGTTTAGGATGATGCCAATAAGATGGGTGGGAAGTGGATCATCCGTCTGAGGAAAGGCCTAGCATCTCGGTGTTGGGAGAACCTGATCCTGGCCATGCTGGGGGAGCAGTTCATGGTGGGAGAGGAGATCTGTGGGGCTGTGGTGTCAGTACGCTTCCAGGTAAACCCACCAACAGACACCTGTTGCATGTAATCCTGCACTGCTTACTCTAATGTACTCAGACATGCCTTCTGATGCTTTTTTTTTCCCAGGAGGACATAATTTCCATCTGGAACAAGACAGCTAGTGACCAGGCGACCACTGCTCGCATCAGAGACACCCTGCGCAGAGTCCTCAACCTGCCTCCCAACACCATCATGGAGTACAAGACACACACAGACAGCATTAAGTATGTATGTCTCCACCCTTTTTATTATTTTTCTTCTCTCCAACCCTCTCTCTCACACATGAATGTTTGCATGCTCACAAACTTAACATTTCCTCTCTTTAACTGTAGTGCATCAGTGTTGTTTCAGAGCTGAATTCTGTAAAACGTTTTGATGTGATTTTGATGAACAATTAATCAATATAGTTTTTTATCCAGCAAAAAAAAAACCTGCTACATCTCTCTGTTTTATATCATTTTAAACTGAATATCTTTGGGCTTTAGGAAATCATGATGAGCATTTTTCTCTTTCTCGTGACATTTACATTAAAAAGTATTACAGTATTAGACATTATTCTCTTGGAATGATAATGTATTAAATGCTTTTATCACAACATTCACAGCTATTTTTCATTGTCAGTTGTTGGTCTAATGTAAAAAGTAAATTAGAACCATGTATGCAAATCCCTGTTCCATGTGCTTTTGCAGTAAATTGATGCACCTGTGACTCCACCATTGAAAAGGCACAAATATATAAACACTTTGTTTGCTGTATTATGAATGATGATGTACTGCATCTACATTTCGCAGAGCCTGGGAAGACTTCCATGGTCTGGTGAATGCTAGTGGCGGACGTTAGCCCCTCACACAGAAAACCTCTGCAAGGGTAAGACCTGTTGCTACATTAATTTAGAGCAAAAGAAATTGTTTTTCTCTGACATACTTTGTTTCATGATAATGTGATGATGTTTGTCTCTGTTTGCGGTGTATAGGTGTGTGTATTTGTGATGTGTTGAGGGATGACGAGTCCAGGGAAGGATACCTCTGCGTGAGTTGGCGCTGTGTGATCTGAAGACAGAGTAAAAGTCAGGGACAGAGGCAAGAAGACCATTCCTTCTGTGTGTCAAATTGGAAATGAACAGAAAAGCCTTTCAACGGGACACTGAACCAAGTTGAAGAGAGAAATGTGCGTTATTTTTAATCAACCAGAGGAGAGCAAAGCCTCCCTTTTTATGTTTTGTAAGGCAAGTTGTAACATCTGTTAACTTGCCACCAGAGAGGGGGGGGGCATGTGACTGGTGTTTGGTCATTAGCTGTTAACAAAGTGTACTTGACAAAATTCAAGAAAACCAACAACAAAGCCAATCTGTTATAATGCGAGATCTGATTTTATTGCTTAACATAACATCACACTTCCTGCTGTCAAAATAAATCTGTGTTAATCTGTTTTATTGGGACTCAAACAGGGTTGCTGGTAGATGTTATTTTATTACAGTGCTGTATTTTATCTACAATTCCTCTGGTCATTTCGAACTAGAATGATTACTATTATTGTGTACGATATATTTGTAAATACAGTCCACTTCAAAGATCACTTAATTGAATCAGCAATGGTTCTCCGTCTTTGACCTGGAAGTTGAATCCCAAAGGATGAGGACCATCCTGTGTTGAGCAGAAGGTTGTATAGCCGGCATCTTAAAAATGGACTGCCAAGCTGCCTAGATCACTGTGCCTGGCCTCGAGCCCGACCCAGGTTTCCCTTATGTCTTTTTTTTGTCTTTACCCCGCCTTTAAATAATCCAAGGGTCGGGCTCTGCTTTAATGTCCTCAGCAAAGGTGTATAGGGGTCCTGGAACACTGGCCTTCACTCCTTTTCCATTTTGTAGTAAAAGAAATGAAACTAGGCCCAGGTCCAGGGTCTGTGACAGTTTTTATTAATTCCTCGGGAGCATTTTTTGGAACCATGTTAAGAAAGCGCCTATAGTTTGTTGAAAAACTGTAATGCTGGCCATGTTTGGTAGTGTGATGATGGGTGCAGGTGTCTGCGTGTGTGTCAAAAGTGAAGAAACACTGTTGGATGTACACCTGATGGATTATATAGCAATAAATGTCAAATATGCATCTGCTGCTAAAGCCGGTTTAGTGTCACTTTCTTTCTTAAATGGATGTTGAAACTGAGTAGAGGTTCGTTTAGAAAGGTTCGGCTACACCTTTCAATGCCACAGGAGCCTTGGTGCACATGCTGTAGTCTCTTTGAACCATGAAAATCTGTGACCTGGCTGGTGTGCCTCACTAGCCCTAGTCCACTTATTGTGAGTCTGTTACGAATGATTGGTCGTTTTTCACTGATCAGCTCATCTCAAAGAACATGTGATTCTGTGGAGAAATAATTAGAACAGGTGAGCTCACCAGTGAGGGGATTTAATTATGACTGAAATCTAACTAAGTACATTTAATGAAGTACTATACTAAAGTACAAATTTAAGTATTTCAATTTAATGCCACTTAATACTTCTAATCAAGTACAATTCAGTGGGAACTTTTTGCTCCACATTTATTTGACAGCTCTAGCTGCTGGTCACATTATAGATTATTTTTTTTTATACATAATATCTTAATATGGTGCAATGAATTATGAAATACAATTAAAATGCATTACATATTAAACTATACCCAACTGTATATATAAATAGGTCAGTTCCACTAAGATCAACTACAACAGTAAAAGGGCAATAGAATGACAAAAGAATTTTATATGCTTACCAACAAGAAGGTGGCTGCCAGCAGCAGCAGCTTAATGTGTGAATCCACACTCAGTGGCACTGGAAGAGTGAAACAGATTTAGGAATGGCATCATTATGAATTTGAAATGTGACTGGGATATAAAAGGCTGTTGGTACCTCAAAAGGCCACATTGATAAAATGAAAAACAGCGTTAACCAAACAGTGCTTCCCAAAAAAGTGGAGGTTTTTCAGCAAGCAAAACAAAATGTGAAGTGCAAGATAGTTTTTACAATCTGAAGAAGGCTGTCATGCTCTAGAGTTTACTTTTTGTGTTGCTAAGAAACTAGAAAGAGAGATTTGTGAAAAGAAACATACAAGTCGAGTTCTTGATGATGCTATTTCAGTAAAACTGGTTTTGCTTTGGCTTCCAAAGGCGCACATGACAGAAAGAAATTGGCAACCACTCCATAAGAAATTAGGAATAAAATCTTTGGAACTCACCCTCCAACCCAAAATACTCATGATCCATGTTATGTTCGTCACTGAAGCCAGGCCATTTCTTCCATATTGTGCCAATTTTCTCACCAATGTTTGAGACAATCTGGTTTATGATAGTGAAAAAAAAATAGTGAATGTGATACACTTGTAGAAACATATTTTATTTTTGGTTGCTTAAATGTTTCTACCTGAAATTGCTGGTTGGAGAAACAGCGGCACGGACAGCAGGAGCCCTGGATTCTGATGGTGTTTGCTCCTTCTGAATCACATACTTCCAGAAGAGGGGTGAACATGCTCCACCTTGCAACACAGTCAGCACAACAACTTAACGCACTTACGCTTACATGATCGTGCAATAAGCAACCTGGCAGATGCACTGGCCAGTACTTCACTCAGTGGCGCAGCCCAGCCTTGATGCTTGGTTGATCACATTTTCAGCTGTCATGATTCTGCAGCACCAAAACCATTGTTCGCTTGGTGTCGGAAGGGTTCAAATTGGGGCATGCTTTATTCTAGCACAACTGAGGGAATATTTATACCAAGTAGACCTCTGGTCACTGAAACCTCTGCCAGGTCAGTAATTAGACAAAACCTCATCGAGTGTTGCTTCTGGAAAACTCTAAATTCGACACACAAAGGCACCCCAGCTAACCCTGGAGTCAAACTCAGGCCAGATGAAGAAGGAAGTATTTTGGTTTGGCTACAGGAGACAGGGTGCTGCCATTGCTCCCATTAGCCAACATTCCCATTAAGGAGGATGCTGCATTCCTTCCTTTCCCAGTCCAGTGCAGTTCTGTTGGTGTGTCTCCGTGCAGACAGCTGTTTTGTGCATTAACTCCCCCAGGTTTAGACTACACCCCGGCTGTGTGGAACAGTAAAGGCTCTCAATGCTATTTACAGACAGGCCTGGGCATCTACGGTGGCTCAGGGTGGCCAGAGGCTGGGAGCGACATGGAAAAAGGCTCACATGACAAGCCGTTCAGTATGAGAATGTACAGTATTACGGTGTCTGGTACAATAGTCTGGTAGCGGGAGGTCAAAGGGTTAAAGGGTTCATTCATCGAAATCACAAAAAATCAGCAGCAACATGTCTGTCCATGAGTCCTTTAGAGCATGCTGACTGTAACTCTATAGCAAAGTGAATTTCTTTCAATGCTGTGAGCACCACAAACAAAATCCATTCACCACTGCTGTATTAATACTGCATTACCTCAATAAAAGTACAGAAGCATTAGCAGGAAAATGCACTTCAAGTTTCAAAAATGAAAGTACTCATTATGTAGGACTGCCCCATTCAGTGTGTTGATGCTATTTTTTTTTTATATTACTGAAATATTATTTGTGATTCATTAATGTGTTAGAAGCTTTAATGTTAGGTGAGTTTAATATTTAATTTTTTGACAATGCACCATATTTTAGAAGCTGATCATGGGTGTAATATGTAAACTGTAACAGAACAAAAAATATAATATTTCCCTCTGAAATGTAGTGGAGCAGAAGTATGAAGTAGCAGAAAATAGAAATACTCAATTAAGTGCAGACACTTCGAAAATGTATCTAATGCACTTTCCTCCAAGAACAATATGAGCAGATTCAGATTGTCCTACCTCTGGCATACAGTGCCAATGAGATGTTTTTGAGGTGTGTAGACTCTCATCTCCATCAGGCAGCAGCTGAGGCAGCAGGCGTCCACCCTAAGGGGCCTTTCAAAATAAAAGACCTGGTGGCCCTGACAGTCGAAGCCCTTGAAAGAACAGGCCCGAGCTGGACCACAACACTGGAGACACACACATGAGCTCTCTGACAGGAGGAAGACATAAAGGAGAGACAGAGAATACACAGAAAACCGTCATCATTCCCTCTCCCTTGACACAAAATGCGGACGAGATGAATGTTCTCAGTTAAAACACATGTACTGTAGCTGAACATGCACCAGTACCTTCCACAGCCACAAATAACTGCGACCTGCTGCCTCCTGTGGTGATGCTGTAGATCCTCCTGGGAACACACTGTGGACCTGCAATGATGAAGCATTGTTCTCTTCAGGTAGAGAAATCTCTGCACAGTAATCCTTTTCTACACACAGACACAGAGAACTGGACATATTTGTTCTTACCTTGCAACTCTGGCCGAGCATCAATATGAATCTCACTGACTGTTTCCAGCATGGAAATAAAGTCTGATCTCGGTGCACCTCCGAAGTTCTGCCCCTCCGTCCCTGGCCTGCTCACTTTCTCCCGTGGCTGCATGAAGCCGTTCTCCATATTCTCCTGACTTGAAAACTGCTTATCAGATCCCCAGCCAGGAGGCGTTGGCTGAGGTTTGGGTCCAGGTGAGTGAGTCTGGCACTCACATGAAGGCTCACAGCGGTTCTGGAAAGCTCTTAAGATCATCTGGATGTGCTTTTCTCGTTCCAGACGACCAAATGGAAGAGGCTGGTTGGTCACTGCTGACATGGTGAAAAACTGAAAATATAGGCGGATGAAGCAATTTCATAAGAACCTTCAATTACGGAATTTTCAACATCTAATCTTGTTTTTTGGGAACTGTTGGACTGAATCAGTTGGTTCCCAAACTTTTTTTGTGTGTGACCCTTAAACATAAAGCGTTACGAGTTGCGATCAGTTCAGTCGAAGGGGGATTTTCCTCTCTGAGACTGTTTCATTTGAATAATTTTTAGGTGCCTGAAGATGTAAAACTACACTGCTGGACTTAAAGGTTCATTGTTTACCTTGGAAATTGTGGATTGACAAAAAAATACGGATCAAAACTTCCACTGAAAGTATATCAACAGAGAGAAAAGTCAGGAAGATCTGCATAACTTTATTTTGGAAATCCCAACCACTAGTTTAAATGTATAAACAGCTTAGAAGTCCTTAGAATACAAACTTTCTTTTTAATATGAAATGAAGTCAACGCTTTTAAAAAAAAAAAAAAAAAAAAAAAAAAAAAAAAAAAAATTGAGTTAATTCTCAAAGTTATGTGCAAAAGTTTAAGGAAAACAGCTTTTCTCCTACCACTCTGTCTCAGACAGTTCCCTGGCGGCAATATAAACATCCTCCTGTCGAAAACAAAGTGATTTCTCCATAGCAGCCAGCCTGAGCTTCTTATTTATTCACATCACACACTCACAGTCCTGCCGGACAGTTTGGTCTCATTCTGCAGCTGCAGAACAACAACACTGTATATTCCTCCACAACACCATGATGAAGCCCTACCTTCTGTCAAGCGCACATACAGTGACTGCTAAAAGAAAACCACAAATTGCTAACGTTTCCCTATAGCATTCTTTCCTAGTTATATATGAGCTAATAGATACACAAAGATAGAAAATAGCACACAAGAATTAAAAGTCTTTTGCTTACCAGAGACCAGGCAAACGCTCATGAGTCCTCAGGATCAGGAGGGGTTAAGCGCCAACCTCCTTAGCACCTCTGTGTGTTTGTGTCAATATTCATGTAGTAATGTTTGTGAGTGTGTGTGTGTCTGGAGTTCTCACTCCCACTCTCGTCCCCCACTGTCTGTCTTATCCCCCGACTCTGTTTCCATCCCAACTAGCCGGATCTGCCTTTTGTTGGGCTAGAAAGGCACCACTCAGCCATGTAATTGAAATCCTGCTTCCAGAGGTGGGGGGCTGCACAGTGGGTCTGTGTTTCTGGGATAGCCTGGGGAGGGGGGGCGGGTGTCAGTGCTCTCAAAATGTGCCTTGAAAAAAGGCGTCAAACACAGGATTAGCAAATTTCTGCAATAGTCAATTGTGTAATTAACACGATTACAGTGGTATCTTTATTGATAAAAGCATTCATTTGGAACATGTGGCTGTAAATCACCTCAGTTGTTTACTGGTTACATGTGTGATCAACACTGTGTCTCATGTATAGTCTCACAGGGCAAAGGGTAAACTGGCAGTAAACACTGTGCTGACAAGAAGAGCTACGAAAGTTTCTCTTTTTTGTTACACAGCACTGACTTTGACATTTTTCAACTGTAACTAAAACTTACAACTGACACCAGTTTGCATCATTATGGATCAAACGTGGCATCCACACACGCGCAGTGGATCATTTATCACCATGATGGGGCATATCCGACTTAACCTCTGTGACAGTGCACACATCCACATTAGCATCTGACACCACTGCAGAAAATACATACAGTTGTATCTTCTCCACTCCCAGTGTGTCCCAGTTGTTAGTGAAAGATCACTGACAAGATGCCGTCAGATTTCCACTTTGGTTAAAGTGACGAAATGTAATGACATCCTCTTGGTTCAGCCGAGGAAGTCTGCTCCTATCCCGTTCTCAGTTACGTCAGTGAGATTGTTTAACAGAGGGAGATATTTCTTTGGATCGCCAAGGAAAGGTGAGGAGGGAGGTTGGTTGAAGTGGCCCATGAGGAAGATCCCAATAGTGCCAATAAAAAACACCAGCGTCATGACAATAAAGCAAACCCTATCGATCACCCTGGCCACCAGGAACCACTCTTCATTCTCCTGCGTTTAGGAAAAAAGTGAGAGATTGTAAGAGATGTTGATTTACACTTGAGGAGGTGAGTGAATGTATAAATGTAGAGCTCACATTCTGGAAGTTGTTGTGCTGCCGTGCAGTCTCAGCTATGTGTTTGCAGGATGCCACACACTGCTTCAGCTGTGGAGAGGCCTTTGCCAGACTGGCACCCAGCTGCTCAGCTGTGCCGCCCTCCAGCCCATCATCTGGGGCCAAAACAGACCAGATATTCATGCGGTTAAAAGGGAAACCCCACTTTCATGGGCACTTAAACAAATTCAAACTCATTCAAATACTTACGTAGCTTCTCTAATACTGATTTCATCAATCCATTTCTTTCTTTGAGTCTGGCAAACATGAGTTCTGACCGAGCTGTTTTCATCACATATTCCTCCGCCTTAGAGATGAGGGTCATGGAGCTGCGACGTCGGCAGGGAACCAAGAACACATTGTTCCTGTCTGTAGTCAGGGTTTCACCATTTTCAGTTTCGGAGGTGTTGTCATGGTTTGGTGTCCAGGGTCGCATCTGCATCCTGAGCAGTCGAGGCAGGACGTTAAGGAGGATCTGAAAGTGACAGCAGGTCAAAGGGTCATCCAGTGGCAAACAGATTGATGTGGGCTTCACAGTATGTTCACCGAGTAGCTGCTTAATTAATGGAAATTCCCACTTTCGGACTCACCTTTCGGACTTTGTCTGTCATTATGTGGGTGTTTGGGGTTCTCAGGGAAACGTTGAGGACTATCACACAGTTCATCACGACCATGGTGGTCACTGACATCACAAACATTAGATACCTGCAGCCAAAGGTTTATAAATCACACAGTTTTTAGCACCATCTTCAGTCAGCAGTAGACTCCGAACTGAAATCTATGAACTTACTTTCCAATAAGAGGCACTGCCTTTGAAGTCTCTGGAACCTTCTTAGCGATAAGGAGGAGGAACACAGTCTGGCCGAGAAGAGTTGCAATAGACATTGTGCACTTCTGACCGCCGGCTGCAAAAACCATACCACAAACCAGTATTCAGTTAGATTAATTACAAAGACATATGGCAATGACTGACCTGGTAAAAGGTTCATTTGGTATATTCTAATTTTGTAGCTGGACTTCTGTCTTGTCAAGTACACAGGTCAAGATCTGAAGAAAATCCTATAATGATGAGACCTTGGAAATCCTGAGGCAATTTGATGTTGACGAGACAGAGGTCTGGCTACCCAAGATTTCGCTTTTAGATATACAAAGTGAGGGAAAAGACCTTTGCCAGGTAAGTAGTAGACAAGCAGGCCGAGGGAGGAGAAGAGCACACAGGGAGCGATGATATTGATGATGTAGAAAAGGGGCTTTCGCTGGATGATGAGGAAGAAGACCACCTCCTGGTACTCCAGCTCATCCTGAGTGTACTGAGTGTTGATCATTTTCTTAGCCGGCCTGTGTCTGATGACCCACTCGCCATTCTCTACCAATGAAGTTTTCATTGGAGAAAAACATTTGGCTGCACTTTAGATAATTGTAGTTATATGCACTTCTTTAAAATCCGTCATTTAAATATTTCATATCAGTTATCAATTCATTTGTACCTGTGAAAGCCTCTGGATCAATATCCACCCACTCCAGTGTGTGATTGTCCTCCTGTTTGAGAACCAGTTCAATCTCATTGGCACTGTAGGTCTGCGAGCTGCACACAGGGAGAGAGCATGCGGTCTGTCTCCACAACAAACACAGCCATCTATTCACTTTTACAAGACAGCACGGTGAAAAGGGACACTGTGGATTATGTTAATACAAGAAGCCTGAAAAGTAAACAAACAGGGCTGTAGCTAGGATTTTACAAACACTGACGTTAGAAGTAAAACTTTTAATTTAATTTTTGTTAGTTTCCTTTTAATTTGTTAATTTAACTGTTCATTTCTTTGAAAAGTTCTCCCTACATTATATTCTGTTTTAAAGCGCTTTTAAAGTGCTTTTCTGCACTGCAAGTATTATTACAATTTAAATATTATATTGCTCTTCTCATTACATACCAATGCCATATTACTACTGTGTTGTTATCACTGTGCTTTTACATTATTATATTATTATGCTATAATTTGATTCTATCGGATTTCTATTATATATACAGTATTTCTCAGCATTGTATTATTACTGCAATGTGTGTGTGTATTACAGGTAGTGCACATATATATAACTTTATTATAAGTATAACTTTGTTATAAGTTGCACCATTTGAGTTCTTTTGCACAAATACTTCTATAGTCATAGGTTTTGTAATGTATATACAGTATTTAGCTTTTTAATTGAATCTCTTGTTTGTTATTTTTTATTGAATTCAAAGAATTTCGTTTCCTTTTTCTCATCTTTTTGATGTGCTGCTGTAACATGACTTTATCCTCAGGGATCAGTAAAGTTTTATCTTATATCTGCAGAAATTACTGCAAATTTTGACAAACACTGGAACTTAAGTTCTATGTTGAGACGGCAACAAATTTTAGAGATGCATGAGAGACAAAGGAGGCAGTAACTGAGTCATGTGTGCTGTATGTAACGGAACTGTTTGTGCACTGCTAACTGGTCAGTCATCGAGACCCATCGGATCATGTCGCTACTCACCGAAAGACCATGGTGCAGTTCTGCCAGTCAAAGGGAAAGTAGTTGACAGTGATGCTGCAAGCGCTGCGGTAGATGGCAGGAGGCAGCCAGTACACACAGCCGTTAGGAGACACCAGTGCATTGCAGTAGAGTGCAACCTCGAACTGACCGTCCACACTGTGGACCAGAAGACAGACGAGAAAGAAACTGAAGTTTTCTACATGATTCAATCAAAGAAAGAGAAACTTCTTCATTGGCTTCTTGACTGAAAAAATATTGGGACCTACATGTTCCTTTGTGAAAGTTGATACACTCACTTGTTCTCCAGTATGATGTCTGGCAGCCATATGCTCTTGGAAGGGACACGTAGCTCAGAGGTGATGTTTCCATACAGAGCTGACCTGGACGGCTGGTCCCATCTGAGCCTGTAGTCACACCATTGCTACAAAAAGAAATACTGTGAGCTAGACTTTTGATCATACTTTGAAAATGTATTATGATAAAAATCATAGTACATTATTGCAAACTGGCAAAAAAAAACCCAGCAGGTGAGGTGTGTATGTGGTTACCATTTCTATCCAGACGCTGGTTGTCAGGGCCTCCTCCTTTTCATTCTGAGGAGGGATAGTTAGGGAGACAATGTTAACTCCAAGGCCTAAGCAGATACTGACACTAATAAAAAGCACCAGAACGAACTTCACCAACCAGAGAGATGAGGTTGGTGAGCGTCAACTTGATGTCGACCCGAGTGATGTCCCCACTCTTCTCCATGGGTCGAACGTTCTTGTTGTAGCCCTTCATCAAGTCCTTGAAAAGTTCCCCTTCCAGGTTGACTGCCGATGCTGCTGACAAACCACACAGACAAAACGACAAAAACAAGTGATAGCACAAGGACTAAATGTAAAGGGCAACTGCATCAATTTTACATAGTAAATTCAGATTCCTATCACCTGTGTGTCTTATGGTTCTGGAGGAGCTTTCTAAATTTAGGAAAATAACCCTCATGATGTCATAGTGATGTCAGCAGGGTTATCTTGGCTTGGACTTGAGACATAACATTGTTAACAGAGAGCCTTTCATTAAAAACTGAGGTATGAGGTTTGATAGAAATGAGTATTTAGGAGGGGCATCTGATTAAAGAGGCTATTGAGTTGCATTATGGGAAATGTAGGATCCAGTATCTTTGGAACTTGACTCATACTAAGGGACCAACTTAGGATGTCTTGGCCTCTGCTGCCTCATTTTTGACATTTTTCTTCTTGTGAACCCTTTCAGTTTAATTTCGACTTGATATTTTGTTGGAATGCAAACTAGTCAGTTCGGGAATAAAGACTGTCTATGTGGCAACAGCACCTGATGGTCCCTCAGGTGAAGCCCACTACAATTCTTTTCTCATTTTACAATAGGCTGTACAGCACAATAAATTAGTCTGATTTGCCTGCTACTGTATATATACGTGCCTTGCTAAACAATACGGTACAATTCAGAGACAATATCTATTTGAGACAAAAGTAGTTTTACCATCATTCATTACTGAACCTGTCATAGTTTGATGAACAGTGCTGTTTGGTTTACTGCCAACTTTGTAATGATAACCATTTGGGAGAAGAGAGTTACATTTTGTTCAAATGTATGAACAGAGGCGTACTACTATAGTATGAGTAAAAGTTTTATTCTAACCATTTGTCTGTTTAACTTCATTTTGTTATTACAGTTACGAGCCAAAGTTATATGTAACTTAGTTGCCTTCTTGAAGAATGTTGTACCTTTAAGTAATTTATGTTGCACTTCATCGGGCAGCAGCTGTCTGGAATGAAGTGCAACATAAATTACTTTCCCATTTCTGTATTGTAATATTGTGTTTGTACTCCATACCATGTAACCATGGTCTTGAGTCAGTAATGATCTATAAAATCGGACTTCACAGATTCACACCACACCATGCAGACTCCTAGGAACTAACAAGACACTCTATCATTTCTACAAAATGTAGCAGCAGGTTGATTTAGCCAGCGTTCCTACCTGTGGCAGAAATCATAAACACCCTTATGAAGAGAGACAGAGAGAGCGGAGGTCCAGAATCCATCAGTGTGTGTGATTATGCTGCGCTGTCCGAGACAAAGCTGTGATCACTAATCTGATTCACACAGGCACTACTTGATAGAGCTGCTGGCGCTCAGCCTGTCTGTTTGTGTGTGTGTCTGTGTGTGTATGAGTGTGTGTGTGTGTGTGTGTGCTTCCCAGCAGAGACCAGGGCTGATGGGAGGGTTGAGGTTTGGAAGAATGGTTGGAGCTTTGTGGGGGAGTTGATGATGGTTAGGGTTAAATCCAAGAGTGTATTTCCAGTATGGCATAGCCAGCTGTCACAACACGCACGCGCAGACACACGCACACACACACACACACACACACACACACACACACACACACACACACACACACACACACACACACACACACACACACACACACACACAAACACACATGCACACACACACTCTCCCTGGGAACATGACATGCACATAGTTTGGCCATTGTACTCAGTACATGGCTGCCCTCCAGTGTTAAGGTACCCCATCAAAACACACACTGTATTGTAATTCTGTTACGTGCACCTGGCTACTGTCATTCAGGCGTCCACACAAAGAAAATAAAATAAAAATAACTCATGGACTCTTTGAGTTCAAATTTAGCACTGTAATAATCTATAAGAAACTAGTTAACAGCTTTTTCCATCAGAAGCCGCGGTTAAATGTGTTCTCTACAATAAAAGGATTACAGGCAGAGAGATTAGACGATAAAGAGGAGACAGCAGAAACATTGTGAGTGTCTGTGAGCCAGAAAGTAAAAAAAGCCTTACAGTGGACGAGAGAACAGGTGATAAGTCTCATCCATTTACAGCACACCGTCTGTGGTGACTGACCAGGCTCTGTGGAGGTTGCTGACACATTTGTGGGCTGTCATTATGTGTGTGTGTGTGTTCCTCCCATGATATGGCACACTTCCCACACACATAAACACACAAGTCAGAGGCAGGGGTTGATGTGTCGCAACAGAAGTAGGTGTATGTGTGTTTTCTCAGCTGTTGCACTCATACCTTTGTATATTGTATATCCCTCTTTTAGGTCTTGAGCTGGGCAAAAATTAGTGCCAGAGATTAGTGGGCAGATATTAATTGTTAAAGTTACTTTGGTTTATTTGGGGGCTCTTTCAGCCAATCATCCCCACCATCAAAGAGACCCTGAGACTTGGTGACCACAATGAGGTGGACAACGCACAGCGAGAATGAGGCTTGTTTACAATTCAAAGGTATCACTTCCTCAAACAGCAGTTGGCTGAAGTTACAATGTTCTCACTCATGAGTCAACAAGTGACTCTAAAGGTCAGGCTAGTTCTGGGTCCAGTTACAATTCCTCATCCTGGAAATAAGGAGAGAAAACAGGGAGTTACTGGTCACCACAGAGCAGCAGCTGCAGTGTTGATGGGAAAGCTTTTAGCCTTAAAGGGTGAGAGGACTGAGGTCAATCTGAGGTCATAAGAGGAACCAATCGGCATCGAAACCCGTCTCAAGAGAGCACATTTAGATCTCGACAGAACTGCAGCAGCAAAATACTGCAGGATTAGCAGCATTACTGTTGGCTTATTTGATTATCTCACATCAGAAGTTTAACGTGGAATTTTATAACCACAATATTCAACACAACATGCCATAGCATTAATAACAATTTTATTTATATATAGATTTTTTTTTTTACAAAAATACAAAGGCTTTTCTCTATACAAATAAATATGGTAGGAATAAAGATAACATGAATAATATATACAGTCTGAGTGCATCACAAGAGGCTCAACCTTTGTAAAAGACAATGACAATATGAATAACTTATCATTTTGTACAGATTCATAAGTTAGACAAGGCTGCGTCTCCGACCACATAAAAAAAAAAAAAAACCTGTGGCGTGATGGGCGGTCGATAGTTGGGTCGATACATTCATGGTTGTGTTTTCATTAAAGAGTAAATGTCAGGCTCTCAGACAGGGAAACAAAATAATGCTTGTCACAGGAGACGACAGAGGAAGTAAAGTTTGTGTGACTGTGCGTTTTTTTGTGCGTCTCTCTGCCCCATAACAAGGGTTTTCTGGTGCTTTTGAAACGGGTCTCTCTGAGAGTCATTGTGCCATCGTCTCTCATTTCAGTCTTTTCTTTTTCATGTCATCTCACTTGCTTTTACGTTGAAGTTAAGTCTTGAGTGCCTCTAGTGCCAAAGCGATGATCCTTGGTACACTGCGGTAGAATGACTCATTCTCCAGGCCCACAAGACTGTAGAAGGTCAAAGGTCGTCCTCCCACTACTGCTCTGACCCGCGCCTGGTAGAGTCCTCTGTCATTCTTGGAACTGAGATCAACTAACACCTGAGCAAAAGAAAGAACCAATAAGGGTTAGGGTTACTCAAAAGTTATAGAATGATGCAGTTGTTTCCTTCCACCAGTTTACTTCTCTTAACTTCTCCATCTTAAATGACAGTTTACCTCTTGAAAAGTCATGCGCAGGTTCTTGTTTGGGATGCTTAGGACCCAGCTGTAGGAGTCTCTGACTTGGCTGACTTGCTGTGAGGTTTCTCTCACTCCAGGACAAACTACATGAATAAATAAAATTATTTAATTTGAGAAATAACATTGAACATGGCATATTTATAAACAATGTAAAGGTAGTTAATGAAAGTTTTTGTCACAACTGGGTGAGGTACATACTTTTCCCATTAGCTCCAGGTATCTGCCTCTTGCGAAGAAGGCTCCTGTATTTTCTTTGAAGACTTAACGTCTTAATAGGACGCGCAGTTTGTCTGGGGTCAGCGGTCATCTCTGTGTGGTCACCCTCAGTGACTGTCTGCACGACAGTTGTTGACTGAACGGGAAGTGGTAACGCTAAAGATTTTAATTCTGTTCTGTCTCCAGTCTCAACAAAAGTAAAATCCTCTGATGTGGCGCTCCATGTTACGTCAGGAGAAGCGTCTCTGTTGGATGAGGTTTCACTTTGTGATGCATCTTTTGTCACAATCCCATCTTGTGTCCTTAATTTTTGAATTTCATTCATCAAGGCTGTTAGGAGTGACCAAGGCTCCTGGGTTTCCTCAGAGGAGACGGCACCGGTGTGGACCGGTTTTCCGGTGGGAGAAGCAGGAAAGGGTGGAGCGTTGGGAGACTCTTTCTGCAGGTAGCTTGTGTCCAGGCGCAGGATGGGCGGAGCGGCTCTGGAGTCCACCTTGGAGCGCAGAGCTGAGATAACAGATCGATATTCTCCCTCTAGCTGATGTACTGAGGAGTCCTCTGTCTGGAGATGACATGTTCAAATACAGTTTGATATTAAGCTTCAGATAAAACCACATCAAGAGATTATAATCAGTCATGCCTCCTTTTTAAACACAAAAGGTACCAGTGTTGATGTCTGATGAACTCCTCCCTTTAAAATGCTCATGTGTAATAAGTCTAGAAAGAAGCCTGCTCTTTGATATTGGAAGGCTGATATTAAGTTATCATTTAATCTACTCATTTATCCATTATTGCATTAGACATTTTTAAAAGAGATCAAAACTGTGCTGTGTATGCAACATCGCCCTTATTTTGACATTTTTGAATCAATCTACCTGTAAGAAAATGTTGTGCTCCTGTCTCGTTGGTGCGGAGGAGACGTCTGTTGATGTGTCAGTGTGTTGTTTGTCCAGGTCTTCAGCCATGTTTTTCAAGTATTTCTCCCAGTCATCCACCAAAGGGCCCACCTCTTTGAACAAGGCAGGAGGAACTGGAGAAGGACTCTGCACTTCAGGCACCACAGCTCCACCTAGCTGTTCTGCAAGTAATAAAAAAACCTGTTACAATAGTGATCCTCTACACAATTTCTTAATATACCAATGCACCTGAAAAGGAAAGTTGTATTGTAGGAAGTCACTGAGTGTTACATTTTATAAGTTTTCTCTACATTTGGATAACAACAAGCTGTCACTTCTGTACCTTCAATCTGTGTGAGACATTGACTCAGTCCCAGGTCCCTTCGCTCTCTGGTGTGAGTGAAAGCTGTGCTGTAGATGTGCTCCACCAGCTGAGGCAGAGTCTGGGTGAAGAAGGTCAAGTCCACCTTGTCCCTGATGTAGTCCTCGGCCCTCTGGAGTAAATCCAACAGGGTCTGCAGGAACGAGCGCATCTCTAGAGAGAGTGAACAGAAGATCAGAAACCTCCAAAAGATAGATTGTACAGTATATTTGTGAATTTAAAGTAGTTCTTGTTCCATATTCATCGATCAGAGCATTTTTTAAATTTTTACTTACGACATTTCTTGAAGCGGGTGAGGCATTTGTCCTCAGCCATTCGGCTGCAAGTGCTGGAAGACTGACCAGGGGGGCAGGTCAGGGTGTAGAAGCGACAGAGAGAGCTGAATTCTGACCTTTGTTCCTCCTCTGTCATCTCTGTTGTCTTTAGAAGCTCTGGACATGTTGGCTCCCGACTCCCAAATGACTCTACAAAGATAAGCATTGATTGTGGAATTGTTGATATTTTAATACTTAGACATAGGGTGTATGTCAAAATATTATTTTATGGTTGGTTGGTTGAAACTCACTCTGTATCTCAGCCTGAATCCAGTCAGAGAAAGCAGAAACCCGCGTGTAGACTCCAGGCTTGCCCTTCTCTCCACAGCCATCTCCCCAGGAAGTGATGCCATGGAGTTGGAACCGACCTGAAATTCGATCTTGGTAGATCAGAGGACCTCCAGAATCTCCCTACAGATGACAGAAAATACACCGAAAATGAAAAAAGGTGGTTTGTTCACAAAAATTGCAAATTTTCAAAGACGTTTGGATGTTGCTGAAAAGTTTCATCAACAAAACAAAAAGCCTTTTACAGTAAATTAAGAGCATGTCGCTTTGGTAACTGAAGACAATTCCCAAATAAGACCTGACAGATCTGAAAACACTAACTCTTAGAAATTGATGTTTTTCTGCTCACCTGACAGGAGTCGATGCCTCCGGAGAGATAGCCAGCACACAGCATTGTGTTGGTGACCAGCTCTTTGCCCAGGGCACTCTTACAGGTGCTCTGAGGCAGCAGGGGAACCTTGGCCTCCATCACCACGTCAGCAGATGGGCCGTCTGTCAACGAAAAAAATGCAAAGCATTTAGACAAATTTGGTAAGTCTTCATCAAAAGCAAGCTAGCAGAAAAATGATTTATAAATAGCTCTAAAGTGAAAATCCATGTCCTTTATCCTCCACTCACCCTCATAGAGGGAGCCCCAGCCTGCCACCAGACATGGGCTGCCAGTAGGGGGCTCCATGCCAGAGGGGAGACACACTGGGGTGACGTGCTCAGACAAGACCACTGGTGATGTCAGCTCCACCAGGGCTATATCGTTGTTAAATGTCTTTGGGTTGAACTGCAGAAGGAGGAGAGAGTTTGATTTACTGGTTGATTGATTGACTGACTTCATGACTGACTGTTCTGGATATTTGAGCGGTTGACCGGTGGTTACCTTAGGATGAGGGATGATGCGGTTCACTTTGAGAACTTGTTCATCTGGGTCAGTCTTGGTGATGTCAAACTCCCCCACCACGGCCGTCCAGTAGCTCTCACTACGGCTGCTGCGGAGGTCAGAGAGAGGAGTGAGAGGGGTAGGGGAAAAAAAAGTACAATAATTTCAAAGCTAATCACAAATCACAAATCTTACTATAGTTGCAGGAGACAGTGACGCATGCACACTTACCCAGCAAAACAATGTGCAGCAGTGACCACCCAGGAGCTGTCCACCAGGACCCCTCCGCACATCAGGCCGCCATCTAGCTGCAGGTTGACCAGCCAGGGCCAGCTGCCTGGAGGAGCAGGGGAGCCGCCCACAATCCTGGAGCGAGGCTGCGTGATGTTTTGCACTGCGGACGACC